AAGAGGCTAAACTATGTGTACTGGTAGCAAGAGATTAGGAAAATACAACCAAGTTGACAAGACTAAGTTTATTCTACAATTTTTATTAATAAAAAGTTGACCATATAAAATGAGTGGCTGGGCTTATAGTTTGCTACACCAAAGAAATAAAAAAAAAAAAAACAAAAACACTTAAGATAATATTACAATAGCTTATAATAGCATTCCTGACAGGCATTTTAAGTTTGGCAGTTGTTTCTTTTGACTATATAAAACTAACCCTTAGAGTGATGGATGAGAGTCATAAAAACTACCATTTGATTAAAAAAAAAAAAAAAAAAAAAGGAACTGTTTGGTGGTTCAAAGCCAAACAAACCATAGGGAAGCCACCATCCCAAAAGATCTTCAAAGATAACCAATCAAAGCTCAGTACCTCTGACCCTTCTGGATGGACAACTCCCACTTGCAAGCCAATGGAATAAATATACGCAGACTAAGAATGCACCCAGTTTCCAAATAAATTAGTAAAAGTGCCATTAAGAATCATCAGACATATCATCATTGTTTAAATACAAATTCAAATTTAACTTCAAAAGATACAGTAACTTTATTACATAAAATTTCTTCTGTGTGCTAAAAATGTTAATGTACAAGACATAATATTTGTGTAAGTGTAGAGGGAAGTGTGGTGGAGCTGTTTAATCATTTTTCATTACTTGAGAACAATAGGCAGTGGAAAATATATAAGCACACAGAGTCCTCTAAATTCAACATTGTTGTATCACTGTTCAACCAAAATATACTACCATTCTCATATAAATGCCTCCTCATTCATCTTTTAAAAATAAAGTCCATTCTCTCTCCATAAAGCTTCCTGCAGGACTGACCAAGGTCCACCCCATGCTAACTGGGGCACTCTCCATCTTTGGCTAGGGCCTCAGCAGTGGGACAATGTGGGGTACGCACATCTGGTGCTTATACAGCTGTTGCAGTCCATACAGGCACTGTACCTTTAAAAGCTTGTCCCGAATATACCTTTGGAAAGCCAAAACAAAGACGTATCTATGGCAAAGTACAATTCATTCTGATTCCACAGCAATCAGTACAGAGCAGCTCTTTAGTGCAGCACCGGGCTTCATCTACCAAGTTACTTCCAGATGGAATTCCACTCTACTGCGCCTGGACAGCGAGGACAGTCAGCTTGTCTGCTTGGTATTTCCTAAGGCAAGAAATTAAGCACTGGAAGACTTCAGAGTGAAGCTCTACAGCCGTGGCTCTCATTTACAGCAGCTTGGTTAACAGATGAGTTTAAGCACAAAAACAGAACTCTCCAGCATGTCTAGACTGAACCCTTAACAATAATGTATGTTCAGCACATGGGTGAACAGAACCATGGCCCTCTCTGAGGATCCACGGAAAAGAACACTTGATAAAAAATAGCTCACAAAAAAACCCAAGACAATAGAAACCCATTTCATTTCATTGCACCCAGGGATATGACACAAAATAGTTTTAAAGAGGTAGATGAAAAAAAGAAAACCAGATTCTCCATTCTTTGTCACTTTTATTCAGTAGTAGGTTTGTTTTTTTTTCCTTATTTTCAGTGCCAGACATGGCAAGGAGTGATTACAGCAAACTGTTATTAAAACATTTGTTCGCAACACATACCCCCGTTACCACTGACCCCAAACTGACTCATTTTGTGTGCTTTCGTTCTTCCTTTTTTTAATATGCCACCACCAAGACCAGGTGGAAAGGGCAAGGGTAAGAGATGGAGGGGAAGAGTCCAGGAGGCCAGAGAGGAGGAATGCTACAAGCCACAGTAAGAATGAGCTGTATTTAATTTAAAAAAGAGGGGAGGGGTATACCCCACAAATGATACAGTAATGAGGATACACAAATCCCATAGCATGACTGAAGGCGTTCACTGTGTTTGACGTCATCACAATGGAAGGCATAAAAAGTGGAGTACATCAATGCTGACACAGTCCAGTCCAGTCCACCAGGCAAGATGGTGCAAGAAGTCATTAAATTAAAAGTGCCCTTCCCTTCCCTAAATGGCTAGCAGACATGGAAAACAGCCTGGGATGCTTCCACACAGCTTTCTCCATGTGGCTATCAAATGTGTTGTTGAATGGCACACTGTCAAACACTGGAAAGGGGTGCCACAATGGACCGCTCTCTTATAGGTATGAATGCTAGATTCAACTATCTCACTAAGCAGGAAGTGGCTCCTCTGCAAGGACTGCCAGCCTAATTGACTTTGTCTTGAAATATGTACAGATTGTTTGTAGTCGCTACAGCAATGATGTTCTCCTTGGGGTGCCAGGCTGTATGAAGGATTTTCTTGTTGAAGTCTAGGCTGTCAACACTTATTTCATCTTTCTTTCGTTTGCCGCTTGCACAGACTTTGCGTGGCTTCAAAACTGTGCGAGGCTTATTGTTTTCTCGCGATGCTTCTAGGGTTATATCCCGCTTTGTGTTCCTGTCGAACATTCTGAAGAAATTATTGTAGGATCCAGTCATGACAACACTGTAAAGGTAGAACAAGCAGTCAAACACGTGTGACTTTACTGTAACAAATCAGTAACCATCCCGGCCCAGTACTCTAAAAGGAAGCAACTTCTCTATGCTTACTTGAGTTAAAGACAGAGAGGCTACCGAAAACAAACCCAAACCATTCATACCCTCCTCCCAAAACCAAATTTAAAAAACTGAACAAAGCTGATAGCATCCATGTACATTTCTCTTCCTGGTAGGAGTTAATTTTTTTATCTGTAGGCCAACAAAACTAGGGAGTGTCCAGAAGCATCAACCTACAGAACTCATTCTAACTCTACAAATAACAGTCTAACCTCCTCCATTTAAAAAAAAGAAGTGTTTCTAAGGAAGCAATGTTTCATGATGCAAATTATGACCTGTTTTACTTGCCAGATGATCTTTTGTTTTCTTTTTTTGAGGTGAGCTCTCATTATGCAGCCCAGACTGGCCTCAAAAAATCATAACCCGCCTGGCTCAACATTCCTACTTAAAGGAATTATATGCATGTATCTGTATGTCAAGTGCAGATAATGTTTCATGAATGGTTATAAAAGACCTGATCAAGAAAATAACATCTTCATTAAGAGAAAATTATCAAAACTGTGATATAAAACAAATTTTCCGTATTCTCGTGAAACCTACAATGGCTTCCAAAGTCACTACGTAGTGGAGGATGGCTTTGGGCTCCTGGCTCATTTTTCCTCCTCCTTCTAAATGCAGTTGTTATGGGTTCTGTGCCAACAGACCTATTTTCTGAAAACATCTTAAACACTTGCTCAACTTTCACTAAACCTCTTCAAAAGCAAATCTTGATATCCGAAACCTTTCCTATTTTACCCACCTTTCTCCACCAGCCAAATGGTCTCTATAGTGACGGGGTATAAGGCACACTAGGAACTGGTCAGCTAATGTATGTCATAAAGGATTATTCTCTATTCGGAATATCAATCCCTCAAAGAACTGATAATCTCAATTAAATTCAAATTGGTACATGTCCCTGACAAAAATGAAACTTTAAAAATGCTTCTTTAAATATAATCCACATTCCAGGGCTACACAAAGAAACCCTGTCTCTGGGGGGAAGAAAAAAAAAAAACAAAAAACAAATTAAGCTGGCACCCCCCAGCTTAATTGTAAGATTTGTACATAACCTATATTTAATGAGGAAATGCAATGCTCACACTGAGAAATTCTGTAAAATAACTATGCTATTGTATAACACAAAATGCACAAGTTATGGAAGACAAAAAAGACTGAAGGACTCTTCTAGAATAAAGAGAACAAAATATGAGACATGACACCAACAATAGGTCTTTCTTTGCTACCAAGGGATTGAGACCACCTGGTGGATCACCGACCAAAGCTGGCTCGGAGGCCATAGCTGTCCTGGACTTGCTTTGTAGACCAGGGAGGCCTCAAACTCACAGAGATCTGCCTGTGTCTTCCTCCCAAGTGCTGGGATTACAGGTGTGTGCCACCATGCCAGGTGATCATAAAGGGTTCTCAGTGTTGAAAATAACTTCCTTCATAATAGAAGGAACCGAGAACTGCCACACAGCTGACAATGGAGAAACTGGCTGGGCAACTTGCCACACTTACACTCCAGTATGTTCTCTTCACATCTGTCCTTCCTGGCTTCAAGATTAGCAGTGATATCACTGCAGGCCGATGAACAGTGTGGCCAGCCTAGTATTGGGCCTCATGTAAACTCAGGTAATTATAACTTACAAAGCAGATAAAAGGCAAGCATCCCAAGTTCCAGTGCTCTCTGTAACATCTAACGCCAAGGAATCTGAATCTATCAAGCTTTTTAAAACACAACTACTGCCAAACACAGCACCTCTAATTGCTTTAGAAATGGGCTAACGTAACTTGAGAATCATGCTGTTTTAACTGAAACAGCAAGCAGTAAGTGCTTGCAGTACCATACAAATCATCACTTCTGTGAAGTGAACGGAGCACTGACAAACAGGGAGGCACAACACTGCATCAAATATCTGCTACTGCCCGAACAGTTCTCCCAACAGTGGAGTAGCAACCAAACAAAAAAATCTATCCTGTTAACTAACTGCTGGCATTGGAGAGTTGCTACTTTGTTTTAAATGTTTCTGGAAAGTAGTCAGTGTCACTCAGGCTGGCCTCTGACTTCTAAGCTCAAACAAGCCTCTGGTCTCAAGCTGCCCAAGTAGGTGGGACTACAGGCACACACTGTACCTGACTAGCAATAAAGGAGAAGGGGAAAACAAGACTTTAAAATAATAATTTAAGACCTATCACTTCTTGCTCTAGATTTCTTTTGCTTTGGATTTACTCTGAAAATCAATGTTTAGTTTTTTGTCATTATGGCTCTATCCATTACTAGATTTATTTCACAAGTACCTGGAAGAAAAATGAAAGACTCATAACGTCTGTCAAAAAATTTAAGCCATATTTTTACGTAGTGTAACAAACAAGAGGGATGAAATAGCTAGTTTCTTTCCTTACCTGTCAGACCCATTCCAACAACATTCAAATTTGTCAAATATGCAGTCGTTTTCATACAGTGAGCAAAGTTTACTTCTGAGGTATTCATGTACCTATAGAAAAAATACATTCTCAGTTTACTTCATTTTACTCAAGACTAAAAATTCATATACTTAAAGAATGTGTATATAGAATCATACACATCTCTAATTGTACTTCTCTTAATCCTTACAAACTCTTACACAGGCATATTTTCCTGTGACACAACTGAGGAAAACTACCTTTCTGCGCATTGCAATGTACCCTGATAAGATGCACAGCCCTCCCCATAGGTTCACATATTTGAATGGTCCACAGTTGGTGTAGAACGGATATGGTGGTGTGGCCTTTTGGAAGAGGTAATGCCACCCAAGGGTGGGCTTTCAGGTTTCAAAAGCCCATGCCAGGACCTGTCTCTCTGTGCCTCTTGCTTGTGAATCATATAAAACTCTTCTCTAGCACCATGCCTGCCTGTCCACCAAGACCAGGCTGGCCTAGAACTCAGATCTGTCTGCCTCTGCCTGAGTGCTGGGATCACAGGCTCCACCCTGCTTAAATGCTTTCCTTTGTAAGCTGCTTTGGTATGTTGTCTCTTCACACCAATAATATAGTAACTGAGAAAACATCTAAGTCAAAAGGTATTTGAAAACGGCAGTTAAGAGACTAACAAAAGAACGTTTTAGCAGAATTTCATTTTCACTTCTCAGCATTCAGCCCACTACTACCGGTAAGAACGCTGCTTCCTTCCCCTTTAAGTACCAATTTCCTAGCACAAATTTGACTTTGGCCTATTATTTTCAGTTAAATATACAGTAAAGAAAGGCTTTGGCTTAGTGATAAAATGGTTTTTCTCAGCTGCCCATCCCAGTCTCCTCTTTTTCATTTACCCACATTATTCAATAAAAAGTGAATAGATGGCTAGTGGGCAATGCTTGGCCATAAAGCCTGATGAACCAAGTTTGATTCCCAAGATATACATAGTAGAGAGAGAGAACAGAATCCCACATGTGTGCTATGCATGTACATGGCACAGACACAGATAAATTAACTAAAATATGACTGTTGCTTTATATTATTCAATATAGAAAGCCAACAAACAGGTCTCTCTTTAGTAAGTAAATATGCTATTTAAAAGGCAGTCAAGAAGCATAGCACACTTCCACGGTGACGGTACTAACTACAAAGACATTCCTCAGTATTTGCGGAGACTGGAGGAAAAAGAAGTGTTATATATTAGCCATTCCCTTTTTGCTGGAAAGAAAAAATGACACCCACCAGTGGGTACCTTCTGTTTTATTTTATTTATGTTGCCCAGGTCTGCCTCAAACTTAGGGGCTCTAACTAACAAACTGTCTGCTTCATGTTTCAGAGTTCTGGGATTACATGTGTGAATCTGCACACTGAGACCTAAACTCACTGTAAATGTCCACTTCACTTGATATAAATTGATAGAAGTGACTGATTCCAGCCATGTCTATATGACATTAAGTAAAAACTTCTAACACCCAGGAATTTCAACTATCGTAGGGTTGGGACAGAACTGGTGAGAAGAAAAAGTAACATCAAAAATAGCCTCCAGTCCACAGAAACCAGCAAGATAACCATACAAATGCAACAGCTCTACCATGATGTGACTCTATTCTCAATTGTTAATCTGATTCTACAGGCAGAAGACCAACCAGTCAAGCAGCATTTAAGTCAGGCCCTAACTAACTTTCTGCACTGCACAATGGTGCAGCTTTCCTGGAACAAGAGAAGACCATGAAGCTAGTCTCGCTGCCAATGTATGGGGAAGACAATAAATGTAGCTCTAATTATTGTAGACAACAGTTGCTAACACTGTGAAAACAAAGCACTATTTCGCTCTGATTTTGTTTTCCTTGTTTTTTGTTTTCCAGACAGGGTATCTCTGTGTAGCCCTGGCTATCTATCCTCCAAACTCAGAGATCCGCCTGCCTCTGCCTCCTCAAGTGCTGGGATTAAAAACATTCACCACCGAGCTTGATTTGTTTTCAATGCAACATATTCGAGGTTTGGAAAGTGAAGAATCCTAAGAAGGTTTTGTGTGTGTGTGTGTGTGTGTGTGTGTGTGTGTGTGTGTGTCTAATTTTTCTGAACGCACTGCAAATTTCCTGAGTCTGCTCCAGAATAATCTGACTGCTTTCTAAACCCTGGTCCACAGGCCTGACTGCCTTGTTCTGTGCTGCACTTTGCCCCTCAGTCTGATCTGCCTCTGATGTCAGTTATGGGTTAAGGATAGAAGCTAGCTGATAGAGAGAATCCTGAACTTACATTCTGCACTGGAGAGGCAACTCCTAAAGCTATCTGCTGAGATTCCAGGCCGTTTTAAACTTGAGACACTCATCAGCAAAAGGGAGTAAGTCATGACTTGGTAGGTCAAATTTAATTAAGCTCTGCTTCACTATTACTCCACACTGTCCAGAGTGTGTCCTCTAAGTGTTCTCCCCAGCTCTGGTCCTGCCCACACTTCTCACTTCCACATACAAAGTAACACAATATTGAACTACATGAATAACAAAATAAAGTTTACATGCAACCCTGAACAGACAATATACACTCTACACAGGCAACAGTAACCCATTCACGGCTGAGAGAACAGCTAATGGTGACCTGTGTGCCACTCCAACAACCCTGTAAGAAGCAGCCGAACATACTTTCCACAGGTACACACTCTTCAAAAGAAACAAACTGCAAATACCTGGTATGTCTCCACGGGCCTGTTTTCCATATTCAAGTCCCAAATTTTGACTGACAAATAGTCTCTAGTCATCATATAGCGACCACTATGGCTGAATTTTACATCAGAAATAGAGGAGATGATTTCAGAAAAAAATGACCTGTTGCTGGGATCTTCAGGTTCTTCAAACACTGAAAACACAGGGAAAAGGTTTCATATGTGGGCTTGGATAAATCATTTTCTAAAATCACCATTCAAGAAAGGTAAAAATCACAGGCTAATCTAGAAAAATTAAAAACATTCTGCCAGCTTTGGGGACATGCTTCCTCACAGTCTTGAGAAAATGATGGATCACTACGAAGTGCAGAGCTCTGCAACAAGGCAGGGGTCTGACTGCACAGGGCTCTCACGGACTTTTGCTTCAGTGTACAACCTACCTCACTGTCTCTAGACTGTCACTCTGGAGACCACCACTTGCCCACCCAGCCACATTTCTAGGATTTTGTTAACTGGCACATATGTGAGTTCTGTAATGTAACCAAAGCCAAGAAAATAATTTTTACAACCCCACCACCCCTTTTTCTGTAAAAGTAAATTTATTTACTTTTATCTTATGTGTATGGTATGTATACATGTGCACGTATGTAAGTACACCATGTGTGAGCAGTGTCTGAGGGTGGCAGAAAAAGGTGTTGGATCCCCTGGAACTGAAGCCACCTACAGCTGTGAGCTGCCACGCTCTTCTTAGCTGCTTAGCCATCTATCTCGCCAGCCTCACCCATTTTAAAGCTAGTGTTTTCCCAAAATTTTATAAGGACAAAAATCCTTTCCTGGGGGAGAGGGGGAACCTTCCTGGTAAGTTCAAAAGGTTAAAGAGTGAGGACTAAGAAGGGAAGAAAGGAAGGAAGCTTTGTATCCAATGCTGGAGAGCTCACCTGCACCCCTATCCCCAACAGACACTCCCCCGTGCTTCCAGTGGAGTACCAGACACACAGGCTCAAGATGGGTCTGAGCAGACCACCACTGAAAGGGCAGAAACAGACTTACACTTAGAATGCCTGTCACAGAGCGCAGATGCCCTCATGTCACATAACCGAATAGTTCCTTTACTGCTGCTGTACACAAACGTGTTACAGCTGTTGGGATGAAATTCTGCAGCCGTTATCACCTCTGTGAGCTCTTCCATATTGGCAGGCTTGATATCCACAATATCTAGACGGCATTTCATTAAGGAATCTCCACTTGGAAAAGGGCAAATAACTAAGATTAAGTATTTCTTCTCATAACCTTTATGTGAGCTATCCCAGAAATGTTAAAATGCATTTTGTATTTTTTCTTTTTTAGTAAAACTTCCCACTATATACGTAGCCCAGGCTCGCCTAGAACTCCTGCTCCTCCAGCCTCAGCTCGCTGAATTATGGGCACTGTGAAACAGCACTGTTACACATGAGCAGTAATAAATCTTTCCATCAGTTTCATGTTCCAACTCCAAAGAGAATATTTTTGTAATTATAATCTTAAATACTACACAAATATAGCAAAACACTCAATTTAAATTTTCATAGGCACAAAAGAAATTTTCTAGAACTCCATAAATTCTATTTTAGGATTAGCTCATATGATACTTATTTTCTTATTAAGTTTACTTTTTCACAGTTTTAATAGATGGTAATACACTATAAAGGACTGTATGTGTTAGATTAATCTAATATTGATGGGTATAACATGAACTAAACAAATCAAGTGGATACTAAAACTCCTGTCTGTAATTTCCAGATGCCAGAGATTAATCCGCAAATCATCCGCTGATAAGTAGGTTTCATAATCACTATTGATAGAAATTGAGTTGATGTGATAGGTGTGGGCATTGGCAAATATTCTCCGTGGACTGGCCTCCACCATCAGATCCATGGGCCTGAACACTGGCACCTGTCAACAAAATACGAAAATCCAGAAAGTAAAATCCTTCTAAAAAGTACTTAAGTTTCAGAAGACCATTATTCCACTTCTGAGAAAACAGGACATAGAATATAATTAAGAAAGAGGGTTTTTGTTGTTGTTGTTGTTGTTTTTGTTTTAAAGCCACTGATGTTGGATTTTGGCTCTATTTAAGCACTGAACTGGAAAGAAAGAAAAATAAACATCTGAACAGCCTACCTTCTTCTCCAGAAAGAAACAGTACTAATTTACAGATCATAGCTCTGGTATAAACTAGCAAATGTTTATGGTTTTGAATTAACAAGGCTAAAAAGGAAACTAGGTTTCTTATTCTTAGCATCTTCAACACAAACTGTTAAGGTTCTGCTATTTGCACTTTTCTGAACTCCAAAGCTCACTAAGCAACAACTAAGGCTCCAACCCCAAAAGCCAAAACCAGTAAACAGCATAGTGTAAAATACAGTCTATGTGCTTCCCAGCTCTGCCTCTGGCGGCAGTGAGATCTCTATGGAGTTGTTTGTTTCAATGGGAGAGATACAATGTCTCATAAAAAACTGGTCACCAGCAGGACTGGAAACAGAGGCCATATGGCATCTGCTTGGGGCCAGGCTATACAAATATTGACAAAAATCCAACCAGAGGCTTTTTTTTTTTTTCCTTCTTTGAAATCAGGGTCTCTATACAGCCCTGGCTGTCCAGGAAAACACCCTGAAGACCAGGCTGGCCTCAAACTTAGTAACCTTCCTCTATGCCACTGTTCTGGGATTGGGAGTCGTTTTCATTATGTACTTACCCGTAGTGTAGTAACTGTAGTAGGATCTCTATACCTTCCATCTTCCTCTTTCAAGTTATAGCCTTCTGGTCTTTTGTCTCTTTCACTGATTTTCCATAATTTTATTGTTTTATCTGGGGAAAGAATAAAAAAAAAAGTCTTCAAAAATGGCAGGAAAATAATTACGACAGAAAAGCCATTTGAAAAATGACATTTAATACTTTATTAAAGGAATTTTTAATTTTCTTTTTTTTTTTTTTTTTCTTTTTGAGGCAGGGTTTCTCTCTATGTAACCCTGGCTGTCCTGGAACTACCCACAAAGACCTCGAACCTACAGAGAAACATCTGCCACTGCCTCCCAAGCACTGGAATTAAATGTGTAAGGCCAGCTTTTTTTAGACAAGGTCTCTGCTACACAGACAAGGCTGTCTTCAAACTCAAAGAAAGATCTTCCTATCCCTGATACCCAAGTGCTGGGATTAAAGGTCCATCATGATTAGCTGCTGCTTTTTTTTTTTTAAGACCAGGTTTTACTGTAAACCAGAACTCCTTCCTAGAACTCTTATATAGCTCAGATGTTGGAATTAAGAGTCAGCCCTATCCCCAGCACAAGCTACTCGTAACAACAACAAAAAGAATCCACATCCATGTGTCTTTTTATCAAGTCAGACCTCTAACTCTCAAAAACCCTCAGAACCGTTTGATGTGTATAAACACACAGCAACGTGCATAAGTATGTGAATGCACACTTGTCCGATATTCAGTATTAAAGGCTGAAAATACACAATCGATTCAGTACTGCCTATTACTGAGCTGGAGTGGCAAGGCCAGTTCCTGGGATCCTGCCCAGAATATCTTATGGAACACTACCCTCCTTGATGGCAGAGCATGAGTCTTTTGAATTGGCCTTTTCTCCTCTTGCATCAGGGATTCCCTAAATACACAGTGGGGGCCTGAAAAACAGTGATTAGAAGCAAATCCTCAACTCCTTCTTAACAAAAATCCATATAATTCAAGGATGTACACAATAGCCTATTTTTTAAAAATATTTTTAAGCTTGAAATTAAGTTTTGACTTAAAGAAAGTTTCAAAGATAGGTGTATTCACACTTTACCCTGTCTCTCTACTGTCAACATCTTATGCAACAATGGCACACTTGTCAGACCGCGGGCAACACCACCAAAAGGAAAGCGCCCCTGAGATTTGAATGTTTCCCCTAACGTCCTTTTTCTGTTCCAGGATCAAAACAGCATGGCATTTTCCCATCAAGCTCCCCCAACCAGCACCGAGTATCACTTAGCTGTGTCTTAGTTAGAGGTCAGTAATAACAAAAGCAAAACTTACAGTCTGTTCTATCAGGTGATTCGAATAATCATGGCCCCTAGAGGCTCATATCTTTGAACACTTAAGTCACCAGTGAGTGCCACTACTTGAAAAGACTAAGAGGTGTGGCCTTGTTAAGAGAAAGCGTCACTGAGGGTGGGCTTTGAGGTTTCCAAAGCCCATGCCAGATGCAATCCCTGTCCATCTGCCCCATGGCTCTTCCCCTCCCCCACTTGTGGATCAGGACGTAGCTGCCAACTGCTTCTCCAACACCATACCTACCATGCTCCCTTCCATGACAATGGATTAAACCCCTAAAACTATAAAGCAAACCCCCAATTAAATGTTTTCTTTTTTAAGAGTTGCCGGGGGGGGGGGGGGTTGCCTTGGTCTCAGTGTCTCTTCACAGCAATACAACAGTGACCAATACAACAGCCTTAAATAATTTAAGGCTGATCAGATTTGGGCATGGTGACTCACACCTATAACCCCATCTCAAAACCAAATAAAAGAAATGCTTATTTGGTGGCACCTTTGCAACTATGGAAGCTGTACTGAACATACACAAGTGAATGGTAACTAAATGTCTGCAAAGAGAGGAAGGGAAATGGGACTTGAGCACTCAGTGGGCCTCACTTAACTACTATCTGTACTTGAACCCTTGAAAGCCTATGCTTGAACTTGGCCTTAGAAAAAGTAAAACTATGAAATGAACTGCCATGAAGTAGAGCTTGCAGCCCAAGCTTGCAATCTCAACCTGGGAAAAGCAGGAGGATCCCAAGTTCAAGGCTGACTTGTGCCAGAAACAAGTTCAAAACCAATATATGAAACTTATCCAAAATCCATGTAGAGAGAGAGAGAGAGATAGCAAGAGAGAGAGAGAGAAAGGTAACTCGGTGTTATGACACATGCCTTTAATCCTAATACCCAGGAAACAGAGGGGAGACAGAACTCTACAAGTCCAGGTAAGCCTGGACTACATGGTGAGACCCTGTCTCAAAAAAAGGGGGTGTGAGGAGGACCCACCCTTGACTCCACCACTTGTGGACTCCACCACAAGTTAGTGGTGGAGTATTTTCCTAGCTTGCAATGTGTAAGGCCCCAGGTTCAATCCCTTGTACTGTAAAACCAAACACTCCAAGACATGAACTCCACAATATATAACACACTTACTAGGAACATTTGCTTCTAAAAGTATATATATATAAAATAGTATAGCCATGTATTGTTGATATTTTTTTTAAAAAGTGTCTGAGTACTACTTGAAGTATCTCAGTTTACCACAAAAATTTAATTGAGAAAAATGGGTCCTGAAGAGTCATGGAATAAAGCGTAGCACTGTTTATGGACTGCATTCCCAGAAATTCAGCAGTACAGGATGTGTGAGTGGGCTCTAAATATCTTCCACTGTGTTACCCTAAGTAGTCAGGAGCCTACACTCTGTAAATAGAAAGGTGTAAGTGCTAAGGTTTGCTTCTTTTAATAGTTAGATGAGGAAACGTGAGATTTCTGCTAACATGTCTGCCTCAAAAAAGTTTTAATCTAAATTTTAGTGGACCATGCCACCCAGAGCTCCAAATACCACCCCCATCTCTTTAATCTCAAGGTCCTAATTATGAGCCAAGTCATATAGGGGGAAAAAAAAAATCATTCAACTCCTTTTATTTAATTCTTTTTTTAAAATAATTCACGTGCATTGGTGTTGTCTCGTGTGAGCGTATCAGATCCCTCTGGAACTGGAGATACAAACAGTTGTGAGCTGCTTTTTGGGTGCTAGAAACTGAACCTGGGTCCTCTGAAATGGTAGTCAGTGTTCTTAACCACTGAGCCATTTCTCCAGCCCCATTCATTCAACTCTTAATTTGTCATACAGGTCTTCAAATTTTGGCTAACATCTTATACAACTCTAACCCCCATTAGTAACTTTCCTTACACAGTACAGTTAATATGGGAAGAATCTTCTTCCAGCTATGTGGCTTATAGGGAAGAAAGTGATAGACTAACAGAAGAAGTCAAGGAATAAGGATTCTCTCCTAGAGATGACCTTGGCACAGAAATCATGTTCTGCAGAGTTTGGAAAGGAAAGAAAAGGAACATCTTCTGAGCACTGCTTCTGCATGCCACATTACTAGGTTATTATACATTCACAACAGTACTGTAGGACAGACAGTGCTGCTCTATGTCTGCTGGTAAGGAATATTCAACTCAGTATTCAGGATCAGCCAAAGGAGGCAGGAATAAAAATCGGCCTAAATAAAAATTGGTATCCACGAATCTGAAAGTTGCAAGTAACCAATAAAAGAAACAAAAGTAGTAGACTTTACATTCGTACAGGGAGGGGCTGTATACTCTATAGGCCATGTGCTCATGTGAGCACTTGAAAGCACAAGATGCACACTTACCGTTGGTAGACAATAAAAACTGGGCAGCATTTTTCTGGGGTAACCACCTAATTTTGTTGATCTTCTCTTCTATTTCTAAGCTTTTCAAGTAGTCAAATTCTGGCTCATGGCTCTGGAAGGTGCTGTAAACATTGTATTCTCCTCTGCTATGAGACTGGATTTTGTTCTACAACAGAAAAAAAAATATTTGGACTATGTTGAGAATCAACTCAAAAGACTTTGAAAATTGTGGATAAGCCCACTAGGCAGCTCTATCTTACATTCTATTACCCTGCTTACTGTATTTAAAGTCCTTCAAGGAGTAAGAAAGCTTTAGAAAGAGCAAGAAGGAAACATTTCCTAAGTAAGCTTCATAGGGAAGCTTCATAGTAAGCTTCAATAGGGAAACAGTGGACCAAATACAGACTGATTTGATTAACTTGCATGGTAAGTAGCATGGTCATACAGTTAAAGAAGAAATCTGAACACCACAATCATGGATATCAAAAATATAAAAATCAGGAGACAGTGTTTACAAACAGCTGGCTAGAGAACATTTTGTCAGCTCTGTTATCTAATGTGATGGCTCATCTTCCTTGCCATTCCAGAAGCCTCCCTTCTGTATTTCACTACTGAAAAGCCCTTAAGAAGGGAGTGCTCATAAATCTAAGAACCCCATATGACCCCTAATACCGATATTTTTGCTAGCTATTAAGTATGTATCAGCGGGCTGGAGAGATGGCTCAGAGGTTAAGAGCACTGGCTGTTCTCCCAGAGGTCCTGAGTTCAATTCCCAGCAACCACATGGTGGCTCACAACCATCAGTAATGACATCTCGTGCCCTCTTCTGGCCTGCAGACGTACACACAGGCAGAATACTGTATACATAATATATAAATACACAATAAATAAATTATTTTTTAAAGAGTATGTATCAGCACCCTAGCAATGCCCACAATAACCTCTGCTATACAACTTCCTCTTCTGAGTTCTTATCCCAGGGACCTTACACACAGATGCTTGCTTCGTGTACTTAGTGCCAGTCTGCTGATATATACTTTTCAAGTAAAGGGATTAGATATGAACATTACTTGTGAAATACTTCAGTTAACACTGTAGTCTAGCAAAAGTGAGAATTATAATCACACTTGCAATTTCATCCTGTGACCTATCACACCATTAGAAACACTTTCATGGGAATAAAAAAAACTGAAAATCTTATTCAAAAAGAACCTTTGGAAAAGTAGTTTAAATAAAAATACAATTTTAAAGCTGGTGGTAATGGTACACGCCTTTAATCCCAACACTCGGGGAAGCAGAGGCAGGCAGATCTCTGTGAGCTTAAAAGGCCAGCCTGGTCTACAAAGTGAGTCCAGGACAGCCAGGGCTCTGTTCCACAAAGAAACCCTGTCTGGAAAAACAAAACAAAAATAAACAAACAAAACATTGTTATGGATAGACAATCATTTTTAATTAAAACCAAGTTATCAAGTGAAATATTTACAGTTAGCAAAATAGCCTGTTCCTCATCCATATTAGAAGAAAACTGTTAAATTATATTGGAAACACATGCGTTGGTTTTGTTTTGTTTTGTTTTTTTCTAACAGCGTAATCAAGACTTTTCAGTCAGTTATTCAGTGAGTGGGCTGGCTGAAACTGTTAAGACTGCAGAGTGTACCAAGAACATACCCATCCTTGGGGGAAGGGATGCTGGTGTCAAAGTCAATCTCAGTGTTTGTCCCCATGGCTATGTACGCCAAATTAAGTAAGGTATTACTCAAATATCATATGCTGGCAATCTTCCACCTAAATTTGTCCCACCTCATATGAAATAATAAACAAAACTACAATGGAGTTATTACTGCAAATACTATTTTAACTTAAAAATTCCCCAAACAAAACCAAGAAGTCTGGAAGCTTCAGCCTGTAAGAAACACCTTCTCCCCACAAGGGAAAATTTTATCAGAGAATATTTTATCTTAAGGATAAAAGGAATCACATGTCACTACGCTGCAGAACAACAAAGAACCACCTCACTCCCAAGACAAAGCAACAGACAAGATTGCCTAGCACTAACAAAAAGACAGCTCACACTGAAGCAAGCCTGCAGCCAGCCCTGAGATTTTCCTCCACAGGAGAACCTGAGCTTAGCTGTACTGTTCTGTAATAATGGACCCAGGACAGTGAACAAGCATAAAGAAATCATTGTCTTCAACATAGACCAAAGTCAGAAGGCAGCTTTTCTGGGTTTTGCTTAAAACAAAACCAACCCCCAGCTTTCCTAAAGCTCGAAGAATTATGATGCATTTTAAAATGCTCTGAGCTTTAGTTTTCTTGCATGGCCTTTTTCAAGTCTATTCTTCTTAGTTTGCCACTTTTGATCACTACAAGTATCTATTTTCTTCGCCATAAGCTCTATTTGCAGGCAATTTTCCCTAACTAATTTACAGGTGGTTTATTCAACACCTGTTTGTATTAGTATCTGGCCTTCAGTTAAGATTCCCACCTGAGCTGTAGCAGCCAGAAGAATGAATAAAAGGTGGCGCTGGGAAACCACACATGGAGCAGAAAAGACTTAGCAATGCTCCTTTGTTCACACACGCATTTCTCAGATTCTAGCTTGGGTTTACTGGTTATTTTAATGAACTACAGAACTGAGAAGTTCAACCCCAGCCATGTTTACATCTTCTACACTTTAGCATTTCTAAGATTGTACCCATTGGTGCAGGAGGGTTTGGTGAGGAGAATCTTAGGTGGAGGCCTGGGGAATAGTTACCTCATTACCTCATTACCACAAGTGTTGACTACCTTATGAATTTTCTTTATTTCATCACTATGACTTCAGTGGGCTTACCTATTCTTTAATAAATTTAACTAGTGAAGAAAGAGACAGGTGACGGTCCAGATACAGGAGGCATTCAGGACACAGACAGACAAGCAGAAAGAAACCTCCCTCATCAAAACATAGTTTAAACAGTAAATATACAAAAAAAAAAAAAAAAAGAAAAAAAAAGAAAATAAACTCAAAGCAACAAGAATGAAATAGCAAATCCTTTCAGTAACAAAAGAACAGCAACTGAAAGACAACAAATCTAATCCATACTACTACATCCAAAGGACTCTGTAATAACAGAAGGACAAAAATTTTCCATGATTAAATTGGACTAAATAAGCATGGTGGTGGTATACACACACCTTTAACCTCAGCACTCCAGAAGTGGAGGCAGGTTGATCAAGGCCAGCCTGGTCTACAGAGTGAGTTCCAGGCCAGCCAGGACTACACAGAGAAACCCTGACTCCAAAAAACAAAAACAAAAAAGACTACAGCAATGTATGACCACAAAGTCAGCTTTACAGAAGATATCTAAGGAAGAGAAAAGCAAATCCATCTACAAGGCCACAGAAAGAATAAACCACAGGCTGGAGAGATGGATCAGAGGTTAGAGCACTGGCTGCTCTTCCATGGGGCCCAGGTTCAATTCCTAGAAATCACATGGCGGCTCACAACGGCCTGTAATTCCGGTTTCAGGGAATCCAACACCCTCACATATATACAAGTAAAACATGGATACACATAAGACACACACACAGTAATAGATAAAAAAAGACAAAGAAAACACCAAACATTACAAAAAGCAACAATATGGCAGAAGCCAATACATATTCTTTAATAACTACTCTGAATATTAATGATCTCAATTCTCGTTTCAAAAGTCACAGATTATGAGTGGATCAAAAAAACCCAAGTGCCATCTGTTTGTTGACCCCAAGAAATGCAACTCACCCCCACGACAGCCTTAGGGTAGAAAAAGTGTTCTAATCATTTAGACATAAGAAGCAAGCAGGTGGCACTACAGCTGATAAATACAGACTTCAAACCAGTGAGAAAGATAAAGGCCACTTCACAATGACAATTCATCAAGTGGACAAGGTGATTCTAAACTTACACGTCCCAAATAAAGTCATAGACTAACCCCAGCACAACAGTAGTGGGTGACACAATTGACAGGTCACTCAGACAAAAAAAAAAAAAAAAAACCATTAAGAATTAAATGACATCATAGTAGACCATGATAGAACATTCATTCCACCCAAGCACGGTAGAATACACTTTCTCAGCAGTCCATGGAACTATCTCTGAAACAGATCACATTTCAGACAAGAAACAAGTCTTTTTCTGGGTTGAGACAGAGTTTCTCTTGATAGCCTTGGCTGTCTTGGAACTGGCTTCAAACTCAGAGATCCAGCTGCCTCTGACTCCCTGAGTGCTGAGATTAAAGGCTTGGAAGTCTTAAGAAACACAGAAAAACAAAACTAAGTGATGGCATTCTATCTGCCCACAGTGGAGTAAGACACTCGAGCATACACAATCTCAGAGATTAAACACACTGAATAATGAGTAGGTGATCCTTAAGAAATGAAGGAAAGAAAAACATTTCTAGAGTCAAATAAAAATAAAAACATTAACCTATGTAAACCTATATGATATGATTAAAGTTGCCTTAGTTTTATAACTCTAGGTGCCTATATTAACAAGTTAGACAACTTGCTCAACAATGCACCTTAAAACTCTAGAAAACGTTATAACAAGTCAGCAGGTGGAAAGAGATGGTGAAGATCAGAGCATAAACTAATGAAACAATAACAAAATAACAATACAATTAACCAACCAACCAAAGAGCTGGTTCTTTGAAAAGAAAAACAAGATAGGCAAACCCTTAGCCAAACTAATCAAAAGAAAAAGACCCAAATTAACAAAATTAAAAATGAAAAGGAATCTATTATAGTGGGTAACAATGAAATTCAGAAAACTGTTAGGTCTTACATTAAAAGAAAACAAAACAAAAACATATAGTCAATAACTCAGAAAAATCTCAAAGAGGCCGGATAGTGGTGGCGCACGCCTGTAATCACAGCACTTGGGGAAGCAGAGGTAGGTGGATCTCTCTGAGTTCGAGGCTAGCCAGGTCAAAGTGTAAGTTCCCAGACAGCCAGAACTGTTACCCAGAGAAACCCTGTCTCAAATTAAAAGAAAAGAAAAATTTCAAATAAATATAACTGTTCTACCAAATCCAAGATGAGAAAAACAATTTAAACACATCCATTATGAGCAGTAATATTGAAACAGTAATATAATCTCCCAACTGGCCAGGTCTGGTGGCACACACCTGAAATCGCAGCACTCAA